TCGGATTGACTTGGACTCTTCGTCAGTTAGTGAAACTCATTCATCAGACAGGTGATCTGATGAATATAGTTCTTTTTCCTCTCGCAAAATAATGTTCATCAATCATTGCCACAATCAGATCCTCATTCTAATCAATACAGGAAAATAGTACGACAATCAAAGGTCAGATTTTTCTTTCTACCTGCCACCGAAGAAAAAAGAATCGTTCTCTTTGTGTAAAACTGCTCTAGCTTACCTTCAAATGAGAGATGGCAGATGAAAAAAAAAGTGTGTTTACTTCGTTTTGACACAATGTTCTATCAAGCAGGCCGTCGAAAAATTGTTTTTCATGCGTTGAAATAACAGAATCTTCTATTTGGACATTTCATGTTGACTTTGCAAACGAGAATAAAAGATAAGATCTTTCAAGTCATGAGAACAAGTGGTTATCACTGCATGCGTCATCAACACTATGATTATGTTGACATTACACACAGAGAGAGGTACAGAATAATTCTGGTAAACTACCATCAAAATATCCCTTTTTTACATATCAAGAAAATTCACATTCAATTTATCTCTATCCTTGGTGTCGAACAAAAGACTGAAGACTTGCTATAACCATAAAAAATTATAACATTAGGTTCGGCACTGATTTGAAAAAAAGAATACCGAGCATTGTAAAATTTTGTAGAGAACTTTCAACGAAATTTATGGACACTTTTCGATGGATACTGGCTGAGAGACAGCAACTGAACGAGAAAAGATCGCCTTTTTCTCAAACATAGACGATCAAAATTTGCTCTAATCGTCATAAAATAGTCAACTGTTCGAATAAAAATGGTCGAATATCACTTCAGTTTAAGTCATTCTTTCATCTCATCGAAATCAATCGGAATGATGTTTCGCTGGCGAAACTCTTTCTTCTCTAATTGATTCAGACAAATTCAATTGATTTCAATCTTCGAAACATTTTGAATTTGTTTTCTGTGTCAAACCATTTTCTTGAATGAGAAAGCCCAAACAATATCAATATGAGGAATTTCTTTTGAATGGGCTTGGATTTTGTTCTCCTTTCTCCTTCAATTTTCGTGAAAGTCAAGTTCAACACGAAGAGCAGTTGAGTCAATTGACTAGTTGGTCAATGATGCGAAATCGGACGAATAATTCTCTCAAATTCAGAGGTATAGACGATCAACGATTCCGAAATTCAACAACAGTCAAATGTCGTTGTGATTCTCGAAACGAGTTTCGAACGTTTCGACTTATCCAAGATCATCACTGATTTTATTTGAACAAGACGAAACACATTGATCGATTTCTTCCTACCGTGATAAATGAAATCAAACACAAATATTCGAGCACTAGTCGTTAAACAATCATTATTAAACGAAGCGAACCAAGTCGCTTTGAGATCAATGTCGAATTTGTCACTCACTTGTTCATTCGTTGTTCATTCAAAAGTTATTCAAATAAGATCAAATTTAACGAGAACAACGAATCGAATACTTAATAGAACAATAAGCACCATCAATAGCACAGAAACAATCGATAGAATATCGATTGATCGACCTCAATTATCCAAGAACGGGAATTCTGACAACCGAAAAATCAATTGAATCAACTGATTGATTCAATTCGAAGAGAAATCGAGTGATCAACATGATTCATTAACTATGAATAACAATGGTCGAACGTTTAAATGAGAAAATTTAAATCGAATTCAAAGAACTCACAGCGAAAAGGACGATAGAAACTATCGATTTGATTCGATAAGGACTTCTGATAAATCCCCACTATATGAAACAAATACACGATGGTGATTCATTGAGACATCCGAGAAATATTTTTATTGACAGATATCATTGTCTCGAAGTGTCGGACAAATCTAACGAAAGATACAAATAAATTCATCTATTTATTTATATCGTATGATAAAATGAAGAAATGCGCTTATTTAAGATGTTTTGTACAGTGTGTGGGGCTTTATTCCTTCCATTATCATTGGTACAAACAATGCTAATTCTTATGCAAAAATTCGTAAAACTCGAGCTCTATACATTAACACACCATATACTGTACTCAATTTTACCTTTGCAGAACGCATATGCCAAGACTGTAGCAGTGCGACTGATCATTGTTCGAATTATGAATGCATCAATGAACACTTTTCACTGTCATATTCTATTCTCAATGGTACTCACATTACCAGTGGCTATTCTTCCAAAAAACTGTAAAGGAAAACATCGCAAACTGCAGGTAAAATAATGTTTATTTGTGGAGATCGATTCGATTGTTATCTTTGCTGAATTGCTGTAGATCGGTAATAATTATGCGTGTTTCTATCAGCCACTCCAATTACATCGGTTATTTGGAAATCATCAAGTGCAAAATCTACTTTGATTACGCTATGCATTTGCCTTGGAATCATTATTATCTGTCTCGTCCTATCCGCTACTGGTTTAGCTATTATTTATCAAATAAACAAAACATATGACAGTACATTTGTGTCGAAAACCTCGAGTATCGACGAGGAATCACTTCACTACAAAGCGACAGAAGACATACGTTCTGCCTACCATCGAAAAAATGTCGAAGTGATTCATATTCTTCGATCGATCAATGATAGTGTTGTTCGATAGATAATTGAATTTCTGGCTGAAGTTCCAGTTGTGAATATCCAGTATCTCTTAAAATACTTATTGATAACGCTCATGATTATAGGGAAAAAAATAGTACAGATGTAGATGAGAGTCACATTTAAATACAAGATTAAATTGATTTTATCAAGATCCAGCATTTCGATGTGAAAAATCAGATCATAGATATGCCTATGAAAAGACTCATTGGTAAAGAATTGGGCATGTATATGGCGATTGGATTTTGTGAGCATTATTTGCAAATCAAAAATACTTATATTGAGATCCCGTTTGAAAATATAGAAATTTCTCGATCTTTACTCATTTATTTAGTTACTTTTCAAATAGATTATAATCTTTTAATCGATACTTTCTCGAAAAGAAATTTCTTTTGATCAAGACCGAACAAGATTATTTTTGTCGGCATTATTAAATCTTATGTTTGTTCAAAATAGACGATGAACTTCATTTTGTCTTAATTAATCATTAAGTTAAATGTTCATTTCTCTTAGTGATTGAAATTGAATCTTCTCAACAATGATTTCCTATTGAACACTTATTAAGTGAAGATCTGATCAAATCAATTATATTGTATCGTGCGAAATAGAGCCACTTCAATTGACTTGTTTATACGATCTGAAAGACTTGATGTGCTTATGAATAAGGATATTATTGAGGCATCTATTGCTCCTCCAGCAATTAAGATTGTTAGCATTTTTCTGGAAAAATGTGACTTTAATTGCGCCCAATCAATTGTAGCTGGATATAATGAGACTAAAAAGAAATCAAGACCGATTGTACGAATCCATAAAATAGATGAGCAATGGAAAATAAAATAAGTAATGTAAATGCAAATGCAAATAAACAACCTATCATATGAACGAGGATGATTTAATTCGATTTGAATGCACTTTCACCGAAAATTCCTGCTAATCGATCCATAGCTAACGAGCAACCAAATACTGAATTTAGATAGACAGCCCAATTCATTTCAAAATTCAAATATAAACGAGCATAAGCGTAGAGAAAATCGATATAACCATATTGACAACCAACAAACATACATAAAGTGAGAAATAGTAGCCAAATTAAACAAATAGGGTGTGGATATGGTTAAAAAGAAGATCAAGAGTGATACCCACCCTTCTGATTCTGAAACACAGTATTAGACTCATTGAGTTAAGGTGGATGTTTTAGACTTTAAAAAAAGGCGGAATTTTGACTAATGTTAGCTTCATAAAACTTGAAATACTAGATGTTATATTATATCCAAAGAACATATTTTGCTCAATTTTTAATTGTTTATTTTCTGGTATATAATACGAAAAATTTCAGTGATTTGTTGAAATGCAATCTGGCATCATTTTATTAAAGCATTTTTTAGTGTGTTTTCAATTGAAGTCATAATAGTGCTAAAAGTCGATCTTGACTAACTTTTCAAAGAAAGAGTATTAGAAGCTAAAATGTTGAGGTTAGTGGTTTCGGACATTGAAGCGCTGAATAAGCAAAAAAAATCAAAAACTTTTTTACCTAGTGCCTGGTATATGGACATGATACTTAATGGTATCGCGAATTCGCTCTTAATTAGTACTGAGTGCTTTAGCACTAATATAAATTTGAGTCGAATCGGATTATGTTTAGTCAAGATATCAAATATATGAGTACAGTAGTACATCAAAACTAGTAATAGTAATAATCACATATCTTTGCTCAGGAGACCTGGAAAACCAAACCCTTGTAGGACATTGAATAGTTCATTAGGATCTATCGTTTGAGCACACACTCGATTAAAAAAGGATTTGACAGTTGAGGAAGTTCCCTTGTCAGTTATCCGAACATATATCAGATCGGCCGATGAGTGCTTAAAACTTGACTAAAAGTGAACATGAAAGTAATTTGTATTGAGAAACGAGAAGATACTGCTCTTGACAAAGGTAAACAAAAATACACTATTCCTACAGAAATAATCTATGAACTTTTAGTTATAGAAATCTTGTCTTCTTTTTATCAAACGCTACGAATATCAAGATTTCGTACACTACATTCATGTTTCTGAGATTCGAACGTTGGATATATGAATATCTAAAGAACTACACGAAAGTAAGGAAAATATTTTAAAAAAAATAATTGTTACACAATTAGTTGTAGTCATTATATTCTCTCGCAAGTGTTTGAAACATAGCATTCTTGGAATAAAATTCATCGTTTTCTATACAATGAATCATTTCCTAACAAAATTTTAGATTTCAATACCAGCCTCACGGCATTCTCATGGTTCATTACAAGCAGCCGTCGACGTCAACATTATCGAAGAACTTCTTCACAAGTTTTAACATCTAACTGATTGAGAGATCTCATTAAATCAGGAAACAATAATCAGACGAGACCAGTATGTGGATTTGCTTAAGCGAAGAATGGAGCAAACCAGAATAGTACAAACTTATTTGCACACCCATCCGCTTGTATTCATCAACAAAATTTCAAATCACTTTTGTGAAATTATTTTCGAAAACTCACATTTTCTGTTTACAATTTTGCTTGGTAAAAACCTTCTAATTTCTAAGAGTTTAATTGAAACGGGAAAAAAATAAGAACATTTTCACCACACTGCACATTCGGTTTCAGTTTAAAAAATGTCTACAGTGATATGAAAGATCATCTATTTATAATATGATTAATCATGAAAAACTGAAAAAAATTCACACAATAATTCGTATTGTTCGTTGCACGAGTCGTTATTCTAAAAACGATTTCGAATGGTGTCTACTGTTGTGATTTCAATCATAGTGGGAGACGGACCGTCGATCTTGATATTGTTCTTTTCATCGAATCGTGCACCTTCAGTTGACATAAAAATATCCAAACCGGAAGCTAGAGTTCGCTGTACTTCATCTGTCGCAATACCCAATTTATCTTGCGGAATCCAGACTATTGGTTTGGGATCCCGTATCGCTGGATGCATATATGCGTCCGCCATTGTATTATCGTATGACTCCATCGCCATGTTCTCTATATTGTTGACAGTGTCGATACTATCCGATCTTCCAGAAACATTCAGAATATTGATCGCCGCCTTCGCCCATGCAAATTTTCCAGAAATGGGATTTTCCAGTCGTGAGAATTCTTCTGCATCGATAGGCAAATAGTGCGTGAGAGGATCGAAGCTTGAGCTCATCAAATATTGAACAACGATCGTGATAAAGATCAATACACACATTAATATGCCTTCGGGAATAGCCGATTGTGAACCAGATTCATTCTGTGCCAGAAAGAAAAGTGCTGCAAGCATAATTTCCATAAGATAAATACCTGTAAATGATTGATAAATTGCTCTTGAAAATGCAAGACCGCCGGTGTCGTTTGGAAAATCCGAGACGTAAAATATATTGTAAACGTAGGCAACATAAAATAAGCCGAATGCTAATCCGGAAATGACAAGAATCAGAGGTGCGATGACCGAGTAAACTAGACTAATTACAACAAAATTTGTGAAAGCAGGAAACATCGTGCCCCAATTGATATTACTGAGTGTGAAGTAACGTTTCGATTTTTTTCGTGGGGTATTATCGAATAATGTTCCCATAAGATAAAATGAGATGAGTGTAACAATTTGTAATAAAACACCAGAAGTCATAGCTAATCCTTTTAATGCCAGAAAACTGAAGAAAAAATTACTTGCAGTTGGAATATTTGCAGCAAGTATTGTTGCGGCACTTGGAGGATTTTGAATAATAGCGACTATGACACTCGAAACACTACTTGAAATAGTAACAACCAAAAAGACATGAACGACTTGGAAAACAAAGTAAGATCCTTGTACATAACGATCGATCGCATCAGTAGTAGGAATACCAGACATTTTTGCGAGTAGTCTTAGCACGGTAGGAAGCAATGCCATTAAAATGGATAAGAGAACGGTTGGTAAGAGGCCAGTAATTAAGCCCAAAGGAACGCTTGGCAAGTTGTTAATGAACTGAAGAAAGGTCAGCTCACTTGTGAGATACGTTAAATTAGAGAGGATACCAACAAATGCGACGGGAATAGCCCAAAAAACAATAAGAGCCGTAGTTGCACCCAACATGACGAGTTCTCTGACTTTCTTCTGGTAGTAGGTCAGCTTTAAATTTGACCAAACAATATTCGCCACTTTTACATCATTGTAACAAGGTATCATTGTTAAGGGAATAGACGCTGTAACACTTTGAACTGCCATGTGAGCTGCTATCTGTTTATTGAATTGAATGAATGCAGAATTCATAGCTGCATAGTTTTCTTGAGTTTCTTTTGCTCGTTCGATCTCAGTATTGAGTTGAGAAATTGTCTCCTTACAATATGTGATTGTATCAACCTTTCTGCCAAAGCATAGGGAGGAGAGTACTGGAATAGATCCAATCCTCATCTTTGGTCGTTCCTTTTCTGAAATATATTTATGAATGATGTCTTGCTCCAAGTCTGTAACATTTTCTTCAACTATCATCAGATGCATTTCCGAGCGGACCTTTTTTTGACGTTTTGCTTCTCTTTTGAGAGCAGCTTTTATCATTTTACATTCGGCCGCCTCAAGTTTTTCCACGAGTTTTGTGCGCTTTTCCGCTTTGTCAGAAAGATCTTCGAGATTTCGATTTATCCAAATGTATTTAACTCCACCTGGAAATTGATTAAAGATTCGGAAGAGAACATCTTGTGACATATATGCTTCAGGTATTGTAGTAACGAGAATAGTTGCTGCGCTAGCGCGAGATTGATACGTAGAACTTCTCAGAAATACTTGACGTTTTTCCACAAAACTTTTCATTTCTGTGTATAGGAGGTAGAGAAATGCAGCGATGAAAATATAAGCGAGCACCAATGGAGCTCCATAACGAGATGAATGACGCGGCAGAATATTACCAAACGTTAGTATATCAAGACCTTTTTTACCATAAGATTCACCTTTTCCATCAATGGCATAGATAGGGAGCAAAATACTTGCTAAAAGAACGGACGAACTCAGAAAGAAGAAAGCATGAACGTAGAGGTAGCGTGCGAAGAAGTAGGCATCGAAACCAGAGGTACGAATCATATCTTCCTGTGGCGTTCTTAATAAGGAGGGTAGCCAACCACAAAATGTGCTTGGTAGAGGTTTGGCGAGTCGGTTTTTATCTCCAATATATGTCTTTGGTTCATAGATGCGTTTGAATCTTGTTCTAATAACGACGAATACAGTGATTTCGACGGCAGCGATGGCTGCAGAGACTACAAGAGTAGTAAGAAACTGTGAGAGTGAAGAGCCCTGCAAGTTTTGAGCAGGATTCGCCGTGCTGCTTGCCATTTAATAGTAGGTATCAACGGATTTTTTCGAAAAGAAGAAATAAAACAGAACGCTTTTTTTTGTGATGGTATTGCAACCGTGTTATAACCAACAATCTATAATTATTTTGAGCTATTTAGATGATTTTAGTGTCTATTGTACCGTTTGATCAAACTGATCGAAATTAATATCAATGTATGTTTCGATCATGTGTTTTATATGAGCTGCTAAAGTCAAATTTCTATCTATCACTATTTGCGAACATGAAAGACAATAAACTAGCTTGTTCTCTATTTTCAACGAGTTCTCATGATGGTTCCTCATACATGTTTATTTTTCTTCTTTCATTGTTTTATAGCTTGAATACAAAAAAGTACAAAACTGTTTATATTAACTTTCTCATAGCCTTATTTTGAATTCATCTACCTTCGTTTGATAAAAAAATGAATTTCTCTTACTGATTCTAGAGAAAAGTTTAAAAAGTATCGCATCTGCTTTTAATTATATTGTTAAGCTAATGAACATTCTAAGTCAAATCTTATTCTATAAAAAGATTCACAAATCAAAGTACTATCGATTGTTGAAAACTGTCAGTTTCTAGCTTTTTTCATTATTGAATAACTTACATTATGTGAATCTAGGAGAATAGAAGATCCACACCCATTTTCTTAGTTTTTTCGTTCATTTATTTTTTGTTTGTATCACGAACAGTTTAGAAGAAAGCGTTGTGTAATTTGCTTTCAACAAAGAACGAAAAAACTTAAAATGTTCTTATGATGTAAATACACTTGAAACTTCATTGTTACAGAAGCTCACTCAAATTTTCCTCTTATAAAATATACTCTTTATGATTTTTCTTGAAATCCTTCGAAGTGTTTATAGATCATTAGTAAAAGAATGCTTTACTATCTATAAAAGTATCTTAAATTCGTGATGTTCTTTGTTTTTATTCAAATACAGTAGAAATTTTCTTATTGAGTTTCTAAAAGTCTTCTGATTTCTAAGTCTAACGAAAGAAAAGAGCTGGTAGTTTGCAAGATAATTTTTTTTTTGCATTTCGAAGTATTTTCTGTTCGTCGATAACGCTTTTCATTGCAACCGTTTAATTATTTCTTTTTGATCATTTATTCGAAAAAAAAAACGTTAAAATAGACACCAGAATCACCTATTTGTACACAGTTGAGAGCAGTGAAAAAAAAACTTACTAGTTGAAATAAATTGATGGACGAATGACAAACCTTCGATAAAATGACGCCAGACTTTAGAGCTGTGATGTTGTAACAGAAGAATGAAAAAAAGGGAAGAAATGCAAGAAAAAGAGGTGATGTGAATCAGATGAGAAATATGCCTCCCGTGCAATTATGGAGTGTTTTTAGTCATTTGATGAGTAATTGTCAAACACACCAAAAAAAAAATCAATCACATCCTTCCTGCATTCATGTGTAGGCAGCTTCACAAAAAACATTTTTTCTCATATGAAAAAGAGAATAGGCAATCATTTTGTAATTTCATATCTTTTACAATAAATCTATACGAAACTTTGACAGAATGTAACACTGGTTATGAACTGAAATTTGAAGAAATTTATTTTTAGAGGCTAAAGTAAAGCGCGAAGGACAATTCACCTTATTTTTCGTTCAGTCATATATATTTAATTTGACTTCGATCAAGAAAGTGAAGGCTAAAAAAATTTAATTAGTCTTTCTCAATTATTTTCAACTTAACCAATGAAATCAAATACAATTGCTTATATTGAAGTGTCACCAACATTGACAATGTTCGAAGGATTCTATATAGCTGTCTGATATTGATCAAGACAACGAAATAAGAGAATCATTTATTAGAATTGCATTCCAATAGCAAAGATAGATAATTAACGATTGTGTAAAATAGTTCAGTGAAAACGATTGATTGTATCATGCCAAACAAGAAATGAATTAAAATTTCACTTTTTAGTTTTCTATAGACTATTGGCATAAATGATTGAGTTAAATTTCAAATTAATCCGACACTGCATCAGACTATTATAAAGCAAAGTACTACCGTATTTTATTCATCATATGTTTCGTTGATTCACGGCACGAATCGACATCTGTATTGTATTGCCGAAAATGTAGATTTGAGTATGAGTCTCGGTGTAAATCTCCTATTCGTCCACTCACACTCACACCTCACCCTAAATTGAACGACTCTTTAATAATTAGTAACATATTTGGTTTTCATTGTCATGAACTGCTATACAAATAAGAAGCATCTAAAAAAAAATCAGAATAAAACTTTGTGCTTTATGTTTAATATATAATCATTATTAAACAAACTCAAAGAAACAGAAAATAGATATTTATTAATATCAGAAATCGTGTAAAAGTTGAGTTTCAAGTTTGACACTACTGTAAATATGTAAAATTTGTTTCATCATAAATTTCGTTGAGACATGCGGAATGAAATAAGAGACTTTTTTGTATTTCTGACTTTTCAACTTTATCTTCATCATTTTTAATGATAGAAAAAAAAAACATTTTCCTTGAACTTTTCGTTTTCAGATTATACTACAGTTTTTTCGAGAACACTAAAGCGTTATCGATTCGTCCCAATTCAGAGTGAATGAGGTATCGTTAATTGACTAGTGAAGCGAATATATACACTTTTTTCTCAGGCCCTCTTATAAACCACTGTGATGAAAATGTATGAGAAACTTTGATTTTACTATGAAAGACGATATATTCAAAAGAAATTTATAAGTTTGAAAAATAATACAAATCATTTCTTGTGTTGACTTTTTATCAGTGGCAATTGATAATCACTACTATATATATTGATATTCATATAAATTGGAAGAATACAACCATCTAACAAATAATTTTACCAATTGATTAATTAAATGTGTTCATCCTTTTGAAAATGATTTTTTGTGTCTTTGTATTGCTCAATCATTTTCATTCATAAAAAAATTACCTGTAGTCAATCAGAAATGACAATAGAATAAATGATGTAGAATATCAAAAGATGTTAATCAACGTTATATCCTTATCTTACTGAAATTGATTTGAACGAAGCTCATAACGATTGTATCGAACAATTTCTTATTGATACCAAAAGGTGTTTACCATGTAATATGTATCTTTCTATCGATTATCAACTGCTGAAAAAAAAATGATGCAACACAGATTAATGATTCAAAAACAAACTATTCGTATAGTAATGGTATTTGTCGATTTTCAAAAATATTTCAAAACTTATTTTCTAAATATAGACGTAGTTATATTTTGATTATTAGATAATCAACTTTTTCTATTTATTTTATAACTGAGTACGTTACATTAAGTTTATTGTCAACGCAATAAATCTTTGATAACATATCTTAAGATGTATGAAAATAAGAGAGAGTACAGTTAAATTAATCCCTTCACCATCCATTTTCTTCTATACTTATTCATTTGTTGATGAGAAGACTAAAATTGTAATTGAAAAATAGAAGTTAAACTTAAATCCAAATTGAAAAGAGTATTTTAGAGTATTATTCAATACAATCAATAGTTCTAATCCTATCAGAAGAATGTTTCAATAAGTACAAAGATAATTTTAAGATACATGAAGATCGACATTAATACTATTATTTAATAATCCATTGACATATATCACAAAAGAGAAATAAAAATAAGAAAAAGAAAAGCAATGTAGCATAAATAGTTGACATGACAAATTGTATAGAAAACATATCGTAATATTATTAATTATACGAATAATTAGAATAGAAGAATTTTAGTTTTATACTAGTAGTATCATTTATGAAAAAAAAAACAAAAAGAAAACGTTTTTCATAATAATGATTATTGTGTAATTTTGACAACTTCTTTTTCTACATCATTAATTAATCATGTACTTTATGTTCAATACAACAAAAAGAAAACGATTATTTTCCTCAGTCGTCAATTATAGTGTTAAGAAAATTACAGTTACTTACCGTGTGTCATATTAGTCATTGTGTTACTATTGAATGATCTCCAAGTGAGAAAAAAATTCATCCATCGATCTTTTTTCTTTTATGATTTAGAAATCGATGATCGATTTTGCTACGAAATAATTAATAGTTGCAATTTTATATCTTTATAGTTCGAAAATAACGTCATCATCATATTGTAGTTTTCATTTTGTCTTTTATATACACATAAAAACAAACTATCCTTCTTTCTCTCTTGTTCATATTAGAACCATTTACTTTAAATATTCAATTGATATTTCTTATTAAACATGATTTTCTAAACCAAAAAATCCTTGAACTATTTGGAACATTTCATTCGATTTTTGTTTTAGTTGACATAAGCTATTTATATTTTGTCAAAAGAAAGAGTTCATGCCTCTTTTTTTCTTGTTATGTTGATTTTATTTTTATCTGCCCTCCCTTCATTTCCTGATCCTATTGTTTCATAAATGATGACCAATTGGCATGCGTGACTTTAACATAGAAATGCACATCTGTGTAAAGAACGATTGAATTACCACTATTCAAATCTCAAATTTCATGTGTTTAAATAGGTAACAGATCAATAATATCACTAAACTTATACATATATATATTCTCTTATCTTCGAACAAAAAAAGGCAACAAAAAAAAAAAAAAGTCAATCAAAATTTTGTCATCATCTAAAACTGAATTAATGTGACAGTATGCACACATCATTGCATCATATAAACAGAAGAAGAAGAAAAAAAGAGATTCTTAAGTATCACTGTCAATCACAATTATAGAAGCAAAAAGAAAAAAAAAATGAAGGATCTACTTAACAAACCCATTCATTATACAATGTTAAAAAAAAATGCAAATGTAATGAACAAAGTCTGTTGATCGATAAAGACATTTTTTTTTTTCTTATCACCTTTTATTGTTTAATTAAGAGATGAAAAGTAAAATGATGATTTACGCTTAAATTGAGCTTTAATTCTTTACTTCAGACATACAAAAAAAGGCACCCCCTAAAGGGATAATTGTCTATAACAAGCACTAGTCTCGACAACTTCTTTTATTAATTGTTCATCTTGATTTTTCTATATATATATATTGAAAAGAAAAAAAAAACACATCATATTAAACGTCGATCTGACTCATTGTTGATGGATACTGTTCATTGATGGTTGAGAATATAAAGTGTGTACGTGTTATATTCTATGAGTCATATGATGACCAAGGAGAAGTGCAAATAAGATGAGACTCATTGTACATTGTACATTAGATGAAGCATGATTGTTCGATAACAAACGTTTCATGGCGCCTAAAAAACAGACAGACAGACAGACATGACATATAAACAGGTGTAATTTCATCTTAATATACAAACAAAATACATAATTGTACTAAGCTTAATAACAAATCATGACCTTTCAAACAATAATATCTTACCGTTATTTAAATTATTTTACATTTCTTACATGATAATTCTGATGAAAGACTAAAATAATATCTATCATGTGAGGGTTATTTTTTTTTTTATTATTATTCATATCGTGAGCACAATGCGTTCTTTCATTAATTCAACTATCAATTCTATGATATGTCGTCTATTATGACAGATCTAATGAATTGATGCGCAACAAAAGGATATACTCAATGCTCAATAGTGATTCTTTTCATAGTCAAAAATTTCTGTAATATAGCTTCAGAAGAAGAAAAAAAAGAAGACAGGATATGTCTGTTATGAAGGTCATCTTCTTTTGATTTATAAAACAAAATATTGATAGGAAATATACAACCTTGGAAAAAAAACAACAGCAATAAGAGAGCTATAATCAACAAACCTTTTTCGACGAAAATTCTTGCACTCCTTTTTTGTCTTTTATATGTACATGTCCATAAACCTGAATGATATGGTTGTGCATGTCGAATAATTAATTGAGATTTAGAAATATTTTTTTCATGTTGATATTTTTCATAAATATCATAATCATACTGATGATGATGATAATCATATTTATAATTATAACTTGAAAAATGCCATGTTATTGATGATGTATTTATATTATAAATCATACAATCTAATTCAACATTTGAACCTGGTTCAACATATAAACGTGAAGGTTGAATAATCATTGGTATTTGTACATATAAATATATTTTAATTGATACACTTTGACGACGATTTGATATTTTACATTCATATATACCTTCATCTGATAATTGTAGATTATAAATTTCTAAATTCCAATATGAATTATCTGTTGATATAGAATAATATGAAATTGAATAACGTTTATCAGATAAAAAAACTTGTTTACCAACAGTTAATGGTAAAAATGTTGAAGTATTTCGATCATATTTAAGCCATGTTACATGATGATTACCTAAATTAGTAACATGACATGTTAAAATAGCCAAATCAGATAGATTCAATGTTTGATTATATGTTTGAGTTAAAATTCGTGGAAAATCATTGGTATTAACAGCTGTTGTCAACCCATCAATTATTAATATCAGTACAAATGCTAAAGTATAGAAAGTAAACATTCGATGAAAGAGATGATAATGTTGATCCGGCTCATGTTTACTACATTGCATACAATAGCTAATGATGACAAGGGTCATTCGTACAAAACAAATATTCATGACATTTTTCATATATATATACAAAGGAAAAATTTTCTCTTCAAAATGAATTAACCTTTTTTTATGAGAATAAAGATTTTAATTAAGTTCTAACATAGGTGTGACATCACAATTAGAATAGTTGTGAAAGAATATGAAAAATGAATATTATATTGAATGATGAAAGTAGATTAAAAAAAAATACTTACATGATATAGAAAATTGTCTTGTATTCATAATCAAATTAAATAATCATTATTCAATATGTAGCAATACTACCTTTTTACTAATCGTTACATGTCGTTTGTCCTAGAATAAATGATGAATGAATGGATATATAAAGACAGAAAGAGAGAGAGAGAGAGGGAGAGAGGGAGAGCGCGAAAGAGAAAGAACAGGATTATGACAAGCTGAGCAGCTTGCTTGTTCTCTCTTTCTTGCTTGCTCAAGAATAAATAAACGTTTGGCTAATGGCATTACTCACTAAAAAAAAAAAGATTATTCACTTTAGAGTAAGCAGGTGCCGGTCTTTTATCACTTTTCGATCATTATTGTTAAAATCAATAGAACTATTAAATAAAAAAAAAAAAAAAGGGAAAATTTTTGTCACTTCTTCGTAGTTTTTTTTTCTATAGAAAGATGATTATCAAAGTAAAAAGGAAATCAATTCTTTAGCTTGCATTTATTATTATAGATGATTGAGCAATCAGTATTCGTCATTTTTCTCTTCTTTTTTTTTTTTTTTTTTATATTCTGAATATGATGATTGACCTTTCAATTGCATATACACGCTTAGTTGAGAGACCTTGTATTGTGCATGAATTTTTAACAGTCATTTCGATCTTAACATAAATCAAATAACTTCGTTGATGTTTTTCTTTTTTGACAATCAGCACATTTGGTATCGATCTTTTTGTTATTCTTTTTTATGTTCAATCTGGAATGCATTGATCATCATCATCATTGTCGACTAGGGGATGATGTTTTAACTTGAACAAGCTGTAGACGATGTGCCATCGAGCACAGTTTGAACATAATGCGATAAGTGAAACATCGACCGTACATGCCCTATCGGCACAATATGCGATGATGGCGGCGGCGAGATGATATACACATAAACCAAACATATATACAACAGGCAATTTGTTGTTGTTCAGAACAAATATTACATACATGTTGCATCAGGTTGTCTGTCTGACATAAATTTATATTAGTTTAACCGACTGGCTGGCGAAAGATTTCAATAGACAAAAGAAAAAGAATACAAGAGACAAATATTTATTTGATATTATTCATTTTGTTTTTCAATAGAATAGTTTTTTGAATTACTTGTTACGAAATAAACGTAACGCGAATATAACAATGAATATCAGTAGGATGTTTAAAAGGATATTATATCGAAAGAAAGGAAATTTTTTATTATTCTCGAATAAGAAATATGATCAAATTACAAAAATACTTCCAAGTGTTTTGCTCATAAGTAGGATTTAGTGAGACTAGAGGAAGACTCGAAGGATTTTTCTTCATAGAGGTTCTTTATGAAATTATGAATGCTTTTCTTTTGAATTGTCAGCTTATGAGAAGATATTTATAGAAAAAAAATTAAAAAGAGAGAATTTTCACCTGAGTTTTTGTTCATAAGTAGGTCTCTGAATCCTGAAAGTTTCATTGAAAACAGATAGTTCCTTCGCAAAATGTAAAATATTCAAAAAGAAAAACAATCATACATCACAAAAACAATGTCTAAAACCCACTTTTCTTCAGTATTCAATATGTCGAGAAAGAACTATTAGCATGTCAGTGTACATGAATATTTGGCTATATACAATACTAGACAAAATATTATAAACGATTTTGTTTTGAATATAGCTCTCATATAAAGCTGGCTTTTGATTGGCAGTTTGTATCAAAGGTAAAATCAGTGTCTATACTATATCTACATGTTGTGAGTCATTTGTTCAGAGTTGTTCTGAAAAAAGCTGAGCCCATGTAAATGAAAAACGGTAAGTTTATAAAAATTTAAAACGTTTAAGAATAAAAGAAAATTTTCTTCACAAATATATTTAATAATTTCATATGCACTACATAGTAGCAATATTTAAAAATAGCAAATTGAAAAAGAATTCTATTTTACCATAAAATGTTGATTTAACACATATTTGAGTGTTACCAAGATTGACTTCAGCTGCACAATTTTATTTATTGAAGATGAAGAGTAAGCATGTATCTAGACGAATTAGACCTAACCGAACTCGGTACATACTTAACTAACAGCAAAAAATTTATAAATATAGAATTTGGGTTCACCGTTGTTTTGTTTATCCACGCAGCTTGATGATAGGTCGTCAAGATGAAGGTTTCCTAGTTGTTATTTTACCGACGTCCAAAATTTTTACAATGATCTCCCGCTGCATTGCATCCATTATCATTGTAACCACCACATCCACTTTCCCAACATTCACGCGCATCAATGAGCATTGAAGTGCATGCAATGAATATTAAAAAGACAAAAATACACTTATCATTGATGGCTTCATAGCTTGCTTTCTAAACATAAACATGTTTTATCATCAAGCTTTTCATAGTGACTGCTATTTTTATCATTTAATCAGCTCAAATGTCTTCAGAAAAGTAGATTTCACGTGATGAACATGTTCATCAGAACATTGAAAATGTTTATTATTTTCATTTTTGTTTCACAGACTGTAAACTAGTTCATTGGATAAATAATCCAGTAAAATAGAATAAGAATAGTATTTGATTGGCAAACAATGTGAATACGAAATGAAATATAGACTGTAAATGACAACTAACAGATCAAGATTAACATTTACGTACTTTAGTGATTTGCCCGAATAAGATTTGATTGTTATTGGTAAAATTCGAATTTGTTTTTACTCAAATTTTCTCTCCAACGTCACATACAGTGGCAGACGTTTTTGATATATGATCAAAGATTATCAATCAATAATGTTTCGTTATGATATATGAAGTACTTTGCTAATGCATTTCTGAAGGTTTCAGTAAAAGGATATTAAAGAAATGTGTCCCAAAAGTGGAAGTAAATGGAAGACCAACATTCTTATTCTACCTTCAGCGGTTGAATAGAATCCAGTGTAGTTAGCTACTAGCAATAATAGAGGAAAGAAAATTTATTTCACGTCTTAGCAAAAGAACAAATGTTTCTGAAAAACACTGTGAAAAAAAAAGATTACATATTCTTTTTCATTAGTTCAATATTTCTTTTCATTGGGTGCTGATTCAAGTAGTAGCTGGAGAAGTTGTTCAGCTTTCTCAGGTTCACCAACTTTAACAGATAATTTACACAGTCGAGACCAGTCGGTTGTATCGTTAGTTTCCTCCTTCATGCGTGTCATGAGTTGATTACGATTGTTGTGACTGTCACCAATCAGAGTGAGATTGACTTGCCAAAGCTTACCACTTCGATAGCCCATCGATATGATATAATCAATGTAAAAAACGGTGTGTATGGAGAAAAGAACGTCGTCTGCTGCCTCTGGATAAAAGCTGACGTTGTTGAGGAGAGCGAAGGGAGTTGATGTGGTGCAGAGAGCTGGATCAATATTGATAGCAAAGAGAATGGCCATCTTATCCACGTCAGGAAGAGAATTTCGAGCGAGTTCCAAAGAAATGTCTCGATTTTTATTCGTCGAAAGGAAGTTATTGAAATATATGAGTCCTCCTTTTCTCTGTTTTATCTTTTCAAAATCGAATATCAACAAGCCCTGTCCTCTGTAAACATTGAATTGTGCCTCCGATTTTGAATGCTGCTCTTGGTACAAGAGTTCTATATGTTGATGTAAGTGGCGAATAAGGAAGCCCATGACAATGATAGTATCTCCGTCGAGAGTATTTAAAGCTCGATTAAGAATTGAACGCATGAAATAGGGAGCCGTGTACCACCCATCATATGGGCGTATGGCGACGGTAATCTCTTTCGATTTCCGTAATCTCGTTTTGAGGTATGTCTGGCTGCCGAAGACAGTAAGCCACTAATTTTTGAATACATTAATTGTCGTCATCATCTTCGACTTCCAAGAGAATTTCTTTAAATAGTTCAGTATACATAAATGACGCATCAATTCCACTAAAACTCGCCGAGATGATATCTTGTTCGCATCGCTCTCGGTCTTGCCGTAGTCCATCACAGATTGGCTTGATTCGATCATGAACGCCTCTCACTTTGGGCCAATGCCTTGCCCATTGTTCATAAAATGATAGATTGCCACAAAAGACGTAGATAGAATCCACCTGAGACTTCTCATGAATTGTCGGCACGATGTATTGCCCAAATGAGCTAGAAACAATCATAAATATCGTTCCAGGTTGTATTTCGTTAAGGAAATCAACACATTCGTCAACATTGACAAATATATAGACTGATGTGACTATACGCCGTAGATGTGTCAACGAGTTTTGAGAATTTTCATTCGATTCATCAATGCTGACATCGAACCAGATAATAATAAAATTTTGTACAATACGACGACGACGAGAAGGAGGGTGTTTAGGAATTCTTATTTCAGTACTTGCCAATGTTGTGGAGGAAATATCAATAGAAAGTGCACCGGTTGTAACATCGTTTTCTACAGACAAAACAAATTCAGACACTTCTATTGTGAATATCCTCAGAAATAATGAAAATTATTCATCATAGATAGGAGACCGTTTTAGAGGAATCTCAAAAAACAATAAAAGAACACGAATAGATCAGTGTTTTTTTCGTGATGAATTGTGAAAAAAATTCAACACTTGATCCAGCAGCATCAAACATATAAACGGTCGAATAAGGTGCATTACTGCCTTACAAACGCAACTAGTAGACAAGCACACTTATCGGATTACGAAAAACACTGGTTATTTCACGTGAGAAACACCGTCTCAACGACAGTTGAGATGCTTCTATTTTTATCATTTTTAATACTACTAGAAGCAACCTTCATCAAGAATAACACGACTAAATATTGAAGAATAATCCTGTAGACATTTCCCTAACATCTTCTTGCAAAAATGTTTTTTAATCTCAGTTTGTAGATTCCAGTGAGGGAATTATTTGGTCGACTGCACCGTTCTTATATCATGCTTCTATGTAACAACAAATAGTTTCTGAACGCTCTACTTAAAACGAAAACAGTAAAAAGACTTTGTGACTATGCACCATCAGTGCATATATCACTGTGACATTCAGAATATGTTGTCAAAATTTAGAAATTCTT